ATGTGATTTGAATTGTCTATTAATGATCTATCTATTTATTTTATTAAGAAAATTAATTAAATTACCAAATAAATAAAAAATAATAAAGCATTCAAAAAATAAAATACCAAAAATAATAAAGTTATTTGTACTAATATTTATATTCTATTATAAAACTTATTATCTTTATAATTAAATGTAGTCAATTTTATATAAATATAAATTATGCTATCAATATTATTACTGCTCATTCGATGCGGATCGAGCTTGTTGTATATGTTGTGCGTCAGGTGTCGATTTGCCTCCGATGTCAATTGGCCTAAATTACCGGCCCATTTTTATAATGTCTGGGCAGCATTACTGATGATCATCTTTATTTAGTATCCCGTCGGCATCTGAGGCAAATCGGCAACATATATAAATATTTAATTTATTAGTGCTTTAGAATAAATGTTTCACTTATATTTATAAAACCATGATAACGTTTTGCAATCATAAGATAATGAAAACATGTCTTTAAAATAAATATATATTTGAAAGAAAAAGAATTTGACATGCTCGTGAATCAAATGTAAAAGTGCTTTGTATTATTACTAGAAGAAATCGAAATAAACTTTTGGCGTTAAATATTTCGCCCTTTTTCTCATCTCAGATATAAAATTCATCTAAAAATGTTTTATATCAAGGTCAGGTTGGTTCACACAATAAAAGAAGAAATTCTGAGATGATTTGACAAATAGATTCATAAATAACTAAACGTATTTATTACATTTTCTTTATGCACCTTTAAATAAACTGTCGAGAGGAAATTCCCACATGCGTAGTCACATCACAACACGCCCTTCTTTCGTTTCTATTCTTGGATGAAATTGCGTCGCTTTCGATAATGTCATCTTTAGTTGTTTAATTATTTATCACAAAAACTAACGCTTGATGATCATTGAGATTACCAGATAACCCGAGTTCCAAAATATTAAGATAAAAAGAATAAATATATTTTTCATTAGACCAGGCAAATTAAGATAATGCGTAAAGATTATATTTTTATTATAAAAAAGTGATGGTTACACTTACATATTACACCATGTTATTCCATTTTTGAATTATGTTTTACTAGAAAACGAGAAAGATCTACATCTAAATAAACATTTTCAAATAATACGTTCGTTACCTTTGAATAAAATATCTACCTATTATGTCACGTGAAATTCAAAAAAACTTACTCTAAAAATGAGACTTTTCATATAACATTTCTATTGAATTCACAAGATTTAATTCCCTCGAATGATTTCGATCATTATTTTTTTTTTTTTACCAATTTTTGAAGCAAGATATTTCGTTACTTGTAAATTATTTTCACAACCTTTAGTCGCAAATATATTAAATAAAGTAATTTTTGGCATAGAAATTGGTGTTGAAAATTTAAACCTTCATTATCTATCAATCAAAAAGAAATTCTTGAAAATGACCACCTTCACGCTTTTCTGAAAATCAACTTCCTAAACATGAAACGGAATCAAATCCTGGTGAAAATATGAACCAAACGAACCAAACCTATGTTGGAGATAGCAAATACTTTGAAAATGATAATTTATTTTATGAATACGATATCACGCAAGAGATTTCACAGGAAATACATAATGTACATCCCAGCAAGATATCAACAGTCCCCAACATTTTATTTAAATTAAATTAATGTTGTACTTGAATTAGCCTTGTCAGAATTGTATCAAAACTTGCTTTATTTAAATTAATTTTGTTATCGAGTAGTTGAACGCCTTGTTAAGAAGTTTATAACTTAACAAACATAAATGTAAATTAAGAAAATAATTCTTTGAATATAGAGTTAACGTAGTTATTCAAGAAGTTTTTATGTAAAAATTGATTTATGAAGATTTTGCTTTGTGAGCCGCAGTTTAAATATAATAACTATGAAGAAACAATTTTTTGCGAATAAGGATTCATTCACTATATGGGAGGTTTACTAGGAAAATGGGGCTCTGAGCATTTTTTATTAAAATTTTAATATTTATTGCATTTTAATCATTTTAATCTAACATTATCAAAAATTAAAATGCAATAAAAATTAAATTTTAATAAAAAATTTTCAGAGCCCATTTTCCTAGCAAACCTCCCATATGATAATAGCGAAAAATTAAAGTATATTTCTTTTTAATAATCAATTTAAATTATTATTAACATAAAATTCTTATTTTTTTCATTATTTTTGTTTGAGATGGATGGCTTCAATTATCTCTCACTTTTTTTTTTAGTTCGTCTATTAAAAAACTACAGCAATACTTTTAAAACATCTTATATTTCTTCTGTAGGTGAATTGGTATCAACTATGTTTTTTTTTATATTTATAATAAAATTGACAGAAAAGAAAATAATAATTTTCATAACTTTGTTTAATATTTTTTTATTGTATATTTTATTTTTATTTTTACATATTTAATCAACTGATAAACTTATATTAATAATGATTTAATATATTTTAGATGTTCTAATGATTTTCATTAATTATTATTTTATTTATTTTATACATTTATATTTTATATGATTTATAATATATATAATTATATTTATTACTATTTAAGTTAATAATTACTATTATAAATTTTAAATAAAATTTTTCTTTCTCCATTCTTTTTATAAATAATTTCAAGTTCTTTGATAAGAAATAATATTATTATATTTCATTTAAATTATTTTATAAATTTTTTATTGGATTAAAATCTAAAAATTAAGAAGACTAATCTGATAAAACTTTAATTTTTTTTAATAATCCAATTTTAGTAATATGTATAGAAGCATTATTATCTTGAAATACATATAACCTTTTGTAAAATTGAGAATAAATCAATAATAACAAATGATCATTTAAAATCTGAATATAATTAAAATTATTTATTTTTTTTATTTACTTTAATCAATGATCATAATTTTTTTCAGAAAAACAACTCTATATTATTATACTATCATCTTCATATTTAATTAAAAAAATAAAAATATATATTTTTAATATTAAAGTATGCATTAGCTTTTCTTAAAACTTGGTAAAATCTTTTATTTTAAAAAGAATAAATTTTAATTTATCAGTTTATATAATTGTTTTCTATTTTTGAACTAATAGATCTTTATAATAAATACATCATTATAATTATTAGATTCAGTTAAAAAGATTTAGATATAATAATACTTGAATAATGGTAAAGAATTTTCAAAGAATATTTTTTTTAGAAATTTTTTTATTTTAAATTTTTTTAAACTTTTGTTAAATTTTTATAAGTATAAGATGATAAATATTTTGTAATTGATATTAATCATTATTATAAATTACATATAAATAATTAATTTGCTTTTTATAAGTACTACTATGAAAATTTGTTTGTATAATGGTTTATTATATTACTTAATTGTTAATTTAGGAATTTTAAATTTATTACTAATTATTAAATATTTTTTTTAGTTTTAGATAATTTGATTATATTCAAAAGGTATATACTGTATTTCTTTTTTTTATATAGGTAAAATTCATGTAAAAAAATGTATTTAAAATTCATTTAATTTAATATATTTTATAAAAGAGCAAATATTTATATTTTCTAATTATATTATATAAATATAAATTAATACTTTTATTTGGAAAAATTTCAGCTAAATTTATTATATATAATTTTAAAAAATTATAAAAATCAAAACTAAATACTTTTGAAAGAGAATTATATAATTATTATATTTACTTTTTATGTTACTATATTTTTTATATTTAAATTGTTTAGTAGATAAATTTTTTTGACAAATTTTAAAAAAAGCTTAAAAATGATATTATTATTATATATAAAATATAAATTAAATATTCTTATTAATTTTATTAATTTTAAAAGTAAATCGGAAGATAATTTTAGTGTTTATAATAAATCAGCAAGCAAATTTGGCCATTAAGGATAATATGTATAACTATACCAATCATTTTAGGATTTTCAAGATTGGAACAAAATTATCTTAAGATCAGAACAGGAATACGCGACATTTTTGGTTAACATGGTTGTTGGCTCAATCTGAGTTATATATTTAATTCTTTTTATTTGCTATCCCATGTTACATGAATTTTCACGATTCTAAATAATTATTATTTTTTTTTTTTCTTGACACAAATCTATTCGATTGTTGAACTGAAATTCGTCTCCAATAAAATAAATATAAATCAAATTTTCTTTGACAGCACTTTGTAATGAATGTGAAATACCACGTTCAATAGAACTTGAAGTTCACTAATAAGTATTTTGCTCGGAAGTAAGAAAAACGAAAAGACACCATTGCAAAATGGTATGTTGATTCAATTACATCAATGTTATATGATTGGCTGATACATCCTTTTTAAAATAAGGGTTAGATGATGTGAAAGGATTTACTGTAACGTAAAACTGGCCGCTATTACATTTGGAGATCCCGGCGAAGTTTGTTTGTCTGTAACTCTTTAGAACAAAAGATTTTGGCTTATACTTATAATTACTACACTGTTTGCAATCAATAAGAGTGAATTTTTATCCAACTTTTTTACGTTTGCTGCGGAACAATAAATTTCCTTTCTTGTAAACAAAAACGTAGTAATAATCAAATGATCGCTTAATTTGTTTTAATTAAGTCCAACCAAACAAGTCACCTTAACAATAAAGGAAAAAATGAGATAAAAAAAACAAAGACAACTGAAATCCAATTTATCATCAATAGGGCAATAATCCGAAAAATTCCTTATTGAATCATATCTGATAACAGGTGCTCTTGTATAGGTTTTTCCGGATTTTTCATATAAAACAGGTCCGGCTGAATTTCTTACTCTTTTTAAACCTTTCCAAAAAGAAAAATAAAATACCTGGTCACGTTCGTGATTGACTAATTCTTGCCTTGAGGGTTTTTTTTTTTTTTATATATATATTTTATTTTACGGAAACTATTTGTAATATAGAGAAAATAGAAAATTTTTTTCTTTTTCTTTATTATTGTTAATCAAAAAAATGGAACCCTCTGAAGAAAACCCCAACAAGCAAATAACAATTATTAATGAAAATAAAATTGTAACAACTGAAATAATTAGAACCTCGTCCACCTCCGAAAGTGGGGAAGAGTCTTCGGATAAAGATTCTCCTGTAAAAATTTCACATTCCGATGCTGAAGAAAATATTGTAGTAGTTAATAAGGAGGGGGAGAACGTGACTGATAGTGAAGAGATAACCGATGATATTATTAATAATACAATTCAAATTCCTGTACTTGAAAATGAAGCTCCCATTCTTGTAGATAATTTACCAGCTGGAGTTTCTGATGGTAATAAACAAGATGAAGCTTCTAATCTAGATATCAACTCTACCGTAGAAGATAAAGAAGTAGAAAATATTGAAACATTAAGTAACGATGAAGAAGAGGAAGAAATCAAAACTAAATCCAATGGAAAGGGTAGTGATATCAACAGTGAAAACGTTGGAAATCATGATGAGAATGCCGATGTACTTCCTGCTACGATTTATACCGACCAAGTTGAATTGCAAAATCAATCTGGAGAAGGCTCAGTCAATAAGGTTCATCATGAAAAGGAAGACCATCTTACTTTAACTCAAACGCATGTTGGTCAAACCAACATTTTAACTGAGGAAGGAACTAATGATCTTAACGGTGAAGAGAATCATAATATTGATCTTGAAGATAATGCCAACTCGGACAATTTAAAATTGTCCGGAAATAATATCAAACAAACCGGGCAAGTGCCTTTTAAAGAATACGACGAGCCTATTAACGATAATTTAACAAATAAAACGCAACCTAAGGATGATAATGGTGCACTTGTACATAAAGATGAATCTGAAACTAGGAATGCATCAAATAAATTCATTGATAAAGAAAATACTTTACCTGAACAACAATTTACTGAGTCTGGTATATTTGATTCAGGCAATCCATTTAACGACAATCATAGTTCTTTATCGAAACCTCAAGATGCTAGACCGAGAAAAATACAAGTTGTAAGACCTGAACGAGGCTCCACTCCCGGTCACTTCACAGGAAAAGGATCAACAGAATTAAAACATTCGAGTTTAGAATCAAAAAACCCTGTCACGAATGAAGAATTTCAATCACAAAACCAGCTAATCCAACAAATCCAGAAGAAATACAATGAACATGACATTGATTATGATGATCCACAACCAGATAACGATAACATCACAGGTAGAAGATCAACAGAAATAAAAGATGGTGGTAATTCGAGTTCAGATTCGGTTAGTTATAATGAAAATGACGTTGATTCGCAACGCGACGATAACGATAAAAGCACAGGCAGAATATCAACAAAAAGAAGGAGCGGTGATAATTCGAATTCAGGATCAAAAGTAGAATTCAAAGTATCAATTAATCCAACTCATATACAGAAGAGTGATAATGATGACGTAAATAGCACTGCAGGTAGAAGACCAACAGAAAGAAAAGACGATGATAATTCAGATTCAGCATCAATAAATCAAGTTAAATCAGTTACGGATGAAGAATTTCAAAAATTAATTGAAACACCGATCATTTCAACCCGTAACACCAGATCAACAGAAAGAAAAGGTGATGATAATTCAGATTCAGCATCAAAAAATCCAGTTAAATCAGTTACGGATGAAGAATTTCAAAAATTAATTGAAACACCGATCATTTCAACACGTAAACATTATGATGATGATGATGATTATGATGATGATGCTGAAGATTTGGATGAAGAAACATTGTCGCAACGCAACGAAAATACTCAATCATCTTCACGGTCCAATCATAATCGAGATGATGAAATTAATCTATATGAAAATCCTAGTCAATTTCGTGAAGATCCTTTGAAACTTAGAGAGGATAAACGTGATAAAAAGAGTAATATCTATCAAGACAACTTGAATTATAAGAAAGAACCCAAATCTACTGGGCCCGTTAAAAAAGATGGTTCACATTCAGGTGATAATAAAGGATCAGGTAATGGCGGTCGACTTTACAGTGATTATGATAATGATGATGAAAATACTCAACCATCTTCACGATCCAATAATAATCGAGATGATGAAAGTAATCGAGGATTTGGATATGCGAATCAAGTTGAAAATTCTAGGCAATTTCGTGAAGATCCTAGATATCAAGGGCCACATGACAACTTGAATTATAAGAAAGGACCCAAGTCCACTGAGCCCGTTAAAAAATATGGCTCGCATTCAGGTGATAATAAAGGATCAGGTGATGTCGGTCGACTTTACAGTAATGTTCATATGCCTGGTGAATTCGACACAAACAACCAATTTAAACTGCTTGAAGAAGATAGCAATCAAAACCACAGAACCGATGATAAGGGGAAAAAAAGTGACTTTTCGTTAACTAACGTTTTAAATATTTTATCGGGTAATAATTACAAGGACGAAAGCGAAATAAAAGTAATAAAAGTCACTTTCCATGTCCATTTACCAAAAGATGTTGAAAAATACGGAAATCCCGTACTTCTTGGTGATGGAAAAGAATTGGGAAATTGGGATAAACCTAGTGTAAAACTCCGTCAGCCATTTCCTCAAAATCCGACATATTGGCAATCTGAACCAATTACTATTTCGTTATCAAATTTTGAAGAAAGCAATGATATCCAATATAAATTTGCCATTCATATATCTAAATCCTATCTTCGTGGAAGAGAAGAAAGAATTGTATTTGAAGGAATGGGCGATCGCGACAATCGCACATTAGATATTGCGAGAAAACACCAATTCTGTATATGGAACAGTAATTTTGACTTTCGTTTAATTACTATAAACGACTTTGCTTTCGTAGATTATATTTATAATACAATCAAAGATAATAACCTTAAAGAAATAGTTATGGAGTATCAGCATTTATTACATAGTCACAGTGATCTTACAATTCGCGCGTCAAATCTCAGATTTATTGCCGATCGTATTGAAGACAGATCTAGAGAAAAACGGCTTTTCTTATGCCTTCTCTTAGGATATCATATTCCAAGACAACAAGGGGTTTACGGACATTATGAATTACCAAATGCTCTTCAATCTGGATTACTGCTTGATGCACTTGAGAACTATAAAAGTGGAGTCTTGCCTTCAGACGCCAAAGATCAAATGTACACCGCTGTTACAGCTTTAGTCCAGCATAATGCTTTTAAGATGCAGTTTCATTGGCTCAAAATTTTTACAATTGCTGCTGAAGTAGATCCTAATTATACCTTCATTGAAAATTTACGGGCTTTAAAGTATACTAATGACAATACTTTAGCAAAATTTATTAAAGGAGTTGCAGATATTGCTCATTATATTGATGGCATTGATTTTGAAAATTACGTTAAAATTGCAAAGGTAAAATTTTTTTTTAAAAAATTTTTTTTTTCCGAAAATTATTAATAATATTAATATTCTGTTATTATTATACAGTGGTTAATTCAATTATGTCACAACATGGACTCTCTATTTAGACTTTTGAGTGAGGTTCTTTTACATGATAATAGCGCAATGGACAAACAAATATTCAAGTCGTTTATTGATCGAGTTCGGGATAATGTTTCTCATGACGATGCTCATTCTTTAGAGTCACATTTTAAGAAACTACACAAACGTTATCGGGATGACGTTTCTGTTGTCTTCCGGAGTCACGCTTTATTTTTACTCGAAAGCCCAGTTAGAAAGTGGACCAATCAGAATGTTTTGGCTATACGAAGACTTCTTCAGAATGATGACCTTAACTGGCGTAATGATGACATAATACTCTCATTAGAGTTGATATCACAATCCCATAGTTTGGAATTATTAAATATATTTCCGGAACTTTTGGATGATTGGTTTCGCAGTGATTTTTCTGATACCAAAAAGAAAAAGATACCAAGCATTTGCGTAAATTGGTTTACACTTCTTTTGACCAAGCTTGGGGCAAATGAGGCAAATACTTCAAATGAAAGTAATTTTATTTATGCAGTATTTGAACGATTAGAACGCATGTATCCTTTGCTTGGTAAAAGGATCAATGTTTGGCGAGATTTGACAGAAATTGCTATCGAGAGAGTTAAGGGATGTTCCGAACTTCGAATTTATGCTGCAACAAAATTTATGGTGAGAATAAAACAAGATGATGTCAAAAAATTATTTTTAGACATGGTAAAAGAAATATTAAATAAGAACGTTCAACAAATTAATGATCAGTTACTACATAAAATATTTATAATTTGCGATTGCAAAGGAAAATTTCTTGAAATTCCGAATTCGTAAGTCCTTTTCAAAGATTGCTGTAATCAATTTTTTTTCCATAATAATTTTTTTTAATTTTATTATGTTAAATATTGTTAGGATTAGTGAAGATCTTTTGTACCATATAATGACTAGATTACAAGGTCAATCGACAGCATCTAGCCATTCGGAGTATTATTTAATTACTTTAAAAGCAATTAGATTTTGGAATATTATATTACGCGCTAGTGGAAGTGTCTCAAAACTTAATGCAAATTCATTTGTCAAAAATACTAAAATTTCTATCAACGAACTCGCGGGATTACTTCTCGAAAAAATGATTGATATAAAATTGTTGCAACAAATTTTAGAATATCCTGATGATAAATTATTTCAACATTTCGATGCAGCTGTTGCCAAAAAGAAAACTTTAGGTGATGTGATCGTCTCTCGAGAAGAAATTGCTAAGCTTAGAAAACTTTGTAAGGATTATCAACATCAACTTGATATACTTTTCAAATTTTATAGTGGATTTTGTTCGTCAATTCAAGTAAAAGATGTAAATCATTACATTTTGGACGTACAACAACATATGCAAAATTCACATAAGGTTAAGTTGAAACAAGTATTAACATCTGATTACTGGGCTTTCCATGAGAAAACGTTAGATAGTGCAAGGCGTTGCTACAAATATAACAATTCCCAAACATTCAGGAATATCTTTGAAGCTTGTCTCCGGGAAGATTCTGCTGCAACAAGTGTAGAATATATAGCTCAAAAATTGATTCCAGCTGTTTTTGACAGATATCTCATCATGTGTAAACAGCTTAAGGAATGGGAAAAACTCAAATGTTCAGATGCATCTTTGCTTTGGAAAAACGTTACTAATGTTAATGCTGAACTCGATTTAATGGATGGTTATAAATCCTATAAAAGCCAAAGATTTGTACAAACTCTTGATCATCTTTCAAAAATTCCTCACTGGATTGAGCGATTAGAACAATTAGAAAAGGTGGTAGAAATTTTCAGAATACCTCATAATGAAGACGATTGGTTGTCGAAATCTATTCGTATTTTAAAAGATGACTCTATGAAGCTTGGTCAAATAAACAATTTTTTTGATTACATTGATAGAAACCTTTCCAATGTTAATAATGATTGTTGGAAATTAATAAGAGAATTATCAAGTGCTGATGATTTTATGGGTTTCTTAAGGAAGATTGCCCAACATGATATTAAAAATTTGATTAATGGGGTCGATGATCATTCAGATGAAAGATTGATTCAAGAGGATACTGTTTCTTCGCTTATTCAGGTCAAACAATTTTTAATTCCTCTTATGGATAAAAGTAAAATGGAAACCATCGCCGATTTTCTGGAAGCGTTGCGAGAAGTTATCAAGAAGAACTCTACTCTAGGAGAAAAGATTGCATTATGTAATAATAGCAACATGGCATTGCAAAATATGTACAACAACATCTCGAACCGTGGTGAAGTTACAAAGGAAAAAATTAAGAATGCTGTAACCAATGGAGCTTTTACTTTTACACGCGACCCAAAGGACGATAAATGTTTAGTCTCCTTAAAATATCCTTCTAAAACTAACGTGATGTATAATCTGAATGAGATTTTGGATTTACGTGGACGAGCTCTTTTAATCGCCAAACCAAAAACTACAGTAAACAATATAATTGATGATAAAGATGCGGAAATGTCAAAAAATGTTATGGATGAATTTGTCGCTCAAGTGGATATTGCTCAAGAAATAATTAACGTAGTATCTGTGTTAATCCAAATGGGACATTTTGGTTATAGAATGTTTGAACAAAAATTATATGGTACAGAAAACATGAAAGAATACCTTAAATTTTTAAAGGATGAACTGGAAAACTGGTAAATATATTAATTTATTTTAATATTTCTCTTATTTATTTATTTGATTTGATTATAAATAAAAATAAATAGTTAACGAGGTTTTATTTCACAACTTTATAGGCAAAATATAGTGGATCATGCACAAGAAAGATGTTATTATTTAACATTCTTTCCTGCTCGTCACATTTTAGCATTTTATGATTATTTCACATCAGAAAAATTAGATAAGGAAAATGAAGATGAATGCAAAACATTGATTAGATTTGTTAACAGCAAAGCTCAATTACCATCTCGTAAACAAGGAGTTTCACGTGGATCCAAAGAGTATCTTTACCTTCTTGGTGAGATCGGTGACGTATTAATAAGAATTTTCAGAGATATTCCAAAACAATCACGTAAACTCAAAGCTTCTGGACAACGCGTAATGTCTGACATCGTTGTAAAGGGTAAATTATTCGTTGCTGCTTGCTCGGACAAAGCGCGAGTTCCGAATATTATTATGTCATTATATGCTAATCATGGTTTTTATCCTGAGCCATGGCAACTTTTGATATGCACTTCTTCAACCACAATTGAGGAGCTTACAATCTTCATTAAAAGAAGTTTCTTTGCTTCAAAAAATGGATATGAAAATCACTTATTCTGTATCGCAAATTTAGAATTATTAGACTTTGAGCTCCAATATAATTTAGTTAATCAAATTAGGTCAATGAGAGAATCTCATGATTATCTTTTAGCGCTTATTTGTTGTAGAGAAACCGGAATGCATCATCATATTTTAGATCAATTCTCTTTAGATGTCCATGCAACTAACGGTTTAAACACCGAAACAATGAGAGGGATTTATAGAGAATTATGTCAAAATGTTATACGTGTTTCATCTGATTTATCTGGACAAGGAAAAACCGAATGGATTAAAGAAGCTAGTTTCGCTAAAAAGAAAATTCCACGTAGCTTTCTAATAAGCGATGGTATGGAGTTTGGCAGGCTTGTACGTCAATTCAAAGAATGTAAGCTTCGACCAATGGAAAGTTTGCATATCAATATAGTATCATCAGATCATCCTCAAGATGTCAATATGTTCTTATTTGAGTTATTAACTTTGGGCATAGTTTCTACAAATGTGGATATTGCTTGTCTTCCGTCTTCAGGAACACCGACAAATATATTTATCGAAGTAGCCTCAACTACTGAACAGCATTTACTTAATTCTCTCCCTATGACCGGATATCTATTATTCAATCATTTAACATGGAACATAAAAAATTTGAAGATTTCTCAAGAAATTAATAGTCCAATTCAAGTTACTAGTCATTATTTGAACCTTTATGATCGCAAAGAGATAGATTCAAAAGAAATCATCTTCCGAACCGAAAAAGCAATCAAAGACCCGCTACCGACAGAACGTTGTCAGAATCTTATTGCGAAATATTTCTTTAATAAAAATGCCGAGGATGTTTCTTCATTTAGATTCGTTGAAGTATTTGTTAATGTTCTTGCGGATCAATTAGTTCGACTATCATCAAGCCAATTTTTTACTGCAGATAATCTTAAATTAATGGTAAAAGAAACTAACATTAGGTCTTTAATTGTTGGAACTTTGATAGAAGTTTCAAAAGATTTTGCAACTAGATCTATTAAAACAAAAGCAGCGCAACTCGAATCTATGAATGACGATGAAGATGGAAATGCTCGCCTTGGAACGATCGTTCAGTGGGACGATTCAAATCATCTTATAGTATTTTTTAATTCCCAAACTCCAGATACAATATCAGCTTTATATCGTGACAGAAAAAAAGTTCATGATAATGTTAAGATTCTATTAAAAAGTCAAGTAATCGGGGATCAAACAAAGTGGGAATTAGATGATTACAATACAATGTCAGCGAATGCTCTCTTCACGAAATTAGAATATTTAGCACGAAGATCGACAGAAAAGTTAGAACTTCCAGAATATGCTTTATCCGGTGATAATTTAATAAAGATGGCTCTAATTCTTTTGAGAGCGCGTGCCAATATTCCGGTTATTGTTTGTGGTGAAGCGGGATGTGGCAAGGTAAAAATAAAAAATAAAAAAGCTCTTTTTTTTTTAGGATCATTTTGTCTAAATTTTTATTTATTTTTTAGACAAGTTTAATCGCCTATTTAGCCAAGATGGTTGAAGTTCAATTTCAAGCGCTTAATCTCCATGCTGGAATTAACGAAGAGATTATTATGATGTTTATGAAAGATGCTTTGAAACGTGCAGAAAAAGGCGAGATTTGGTTATTCTTTGATGAAATCAATACTTGCAATCATATCGGTTTACTTGCAGATTTAATATCCCATCGAATGCTTGATGGTAAACTTATACATCCAAATATTCGCTTGTTCTCTGCCTGCAACCCATACCGTCTTCGTACAAAAACTCAAAGCCAAGCTGGTTTGACAAATAAGGTTAAAAAATACGAAGAACAAAGCAGTCTTGTTTATCAAGTTAAACCACTTCCTGATCAAATTTTGGACTATGTATGGGACTATGGTATTCTAAAACCAGATGATGAATACAAATACATCCAAATTATGGTCGAAAAAGAATTAGCAACTTTGGCTCATCCAGTATTTTCCGAGCTCTTATATGCTTCTCAGAAATTCATTCGGAAGGTTGAGGAGCCCTATAGTGTTAGTTTACGTGATGTCAAGCGAGCTATAACGTTGGTGAAATTCTTTTATAAATCTCTTGACAACCGCCCGGTTTATGTGAAGGGTTATAAATATCCACCATCTGGAAATCCGACCGCAAGAACCAGGTCTTATATTTTAGCGCTTAGTCTTTGTTACCATTCTCGACTATATGAACAAAAGTTACGTAAACAATATCGTCGCGAAATGGGAGAAATATTACAAAATCACAAAGCTTATGTGGGAGAGGATATGTTTGCTAAAGTTATTCGTGAAGAGCAGGAAGACTACATTAGTAGAATGCAATGTCCACCTAATACAGCAAAAAATGAAGCTTTATTGGAGAATGTTTTAGTTATGATTGTATGCATCTTAACAAGGATTCCCTTATTTTTAATCGGAGCTCCTGGGTTTGTAATGAAGTTTATTTTGACCTCCTATTTTTCTTTTTACTTTTTCTTACTAAATAATTTTATTAACTCAATTTTTTATAAAAAAGTTCATCAAAATCTTTGGCAATTCGTCTTATAAGCTCAAATTTACGTGGTTCTGATTCAAATGACCGATACTTTAGAACTTTACCACAAGTTTACTTGATCCCGCATCAAGGCTCTTCATCTTCGACTTCTGATGGAATAATAAAAGTATTTGATAAAGCCAATAAATATCAGGAAACAAATTCCAAACAATTTCCTGTTATTAGTGTTGTGTTACTCGATGAAGGTAACCTATTTGTTCATATTTTTCTCCCCTTTTTAGGTTGTTTTTCCAGTTTATACACCTATTCATTATTATTTTATTTATTAATAAAAAATTTAATTATTAGTCGGCTTGGCTGAAACAAGTCCTTTCAATCCATTAAAAGTACTTCACTCTTTGCTCGAACCAAGCTACCCAGCAAAAGGACCCACTGTGTCGGTAGTTGGAATATCAAATTGGCGCTTGGATAATAGTAAAAGTAGTCGTGCATTACTTGTTCAAAGGTAATTATTTATTTCTCAGAAAACTTTATGCGAAATATAAATTGTTAATCTCCCATGTTATTTCTTTCAGACCACAATTTGATTTAGATGATTTAATTGATACTGCTGAACGGTTATTAAGTAGTAAAGTTATTCGACGTAGTCAAAGAGGCGCTTTAAAACCATTAGCCAAAGCATATTCGGATTATGAAAAACATGGTCAGGATTTGCCTAATTTCCATGGCCTTCGAGATTATTATGCGTTAGTCAAAAGGCTTTCATTAGACGAAATGACACCAGAGAATATTCAAATGGCATTAGCTCGTAATTTTGGGGGAGCAGACAATAATAAAAAATTATACGAAGAATTCTTTGGAGATGTTCTCAAAACATTTAATAATCACAATCCATGGTTTTATAAACCAATTCCAATTGAGCATCTAATCGATTCAAATTTAGATGATTCTGATGCGCGTCATTTAATGGTTATCGGTAAAAGTGATTCGATTGTAAATTTATTAACTTATCAATTAAGAAAGAAAAACTTGGATCCTGTCGTGATTTTAGGATCACAATTTCCTGATGACCAAGATGATTATTCTTATAGTGTTTTGAGTAGAATAATGGTAATAATTTGATTTCTTTGGTGAAAAAATTTTTCTATTTTCTATTTCCTATTTTCTGAACATAATCATCCATTATTAGATGTGCGTTGAAGCCGGCAGACCATTGATTCTAACAGATTTGGAAATCATTTATGGTATTTTTCAATTATATATTGACTAATTTCATTTGTAATTATTTGGTAAATTATAAATAATATTAAAAAATATTAATTTATATTAAATAGGAAGTCTTTACGATTTATGGAATCAAAATTATATTGTAGTTGGTAATAAAGAAAATGCCAAATATTTCACACGAGTTGCTCTCGGGGCATATGCTAATCCTATGCTGTATGTAATTTGAATTTTTGATTCGATTTAACTTTTTTATTAGGTCTCAAATTTCAATTAAATAATATTTTGGCATTTATATTTTGTAGTTACGTGTCACCAAACTTTAAATGTATTCTTGTCATGGATGAAAAGAATTTGGCTTCTGCCGATCCGCCGCTTCTTAATCGATTCGAAAAACAGAAAATGTCGATTCACGATTCACTTAATGAAAAGCAAAAAATATTGGTAGAAAATTTAGGCGATTGGGTAAGACGTATGTCAACTTTAACTGGAGTTAATCAACAGGTGAATCAATTACGTAATAGATTCACACAAAAAGACCTATTCGTCGGTTTTGATAAGGATGAAACTTTACAAAGTTTAGTAATCGACATTACCAAGGATAATCCTGAAGTTGAGGATGATGAAGACATTCTAGAAAAGTGTAAGGAATGTTTAATAGCAATAGCGTCTTCTGATGGAATCGTGAGAGCCGAACAGTCAGCTTTAGAATTTGATGAAGTCGAAAGATGGAAACGTGTTTATTTTCATCATCAACATCATGATAGTCTTTACGACTATTTTAGTAATTTATTTAATCAAGAACCATTGATGGATAAAGGACACTTGGTAATTGTCAACACATTCTCTAACATAAATACTGATGTCAGGACTTCTTTACAAGAACTTATAAGTTGTCAAGTGGATAAATTATCGACTTTTAAGACCGAAGCTCAACTTTCAAATCGGGTGAGTCCATAAAATATATTCAAAGGAAAATTATTATTTTAATTAATATGAAAATTTATATTTTATAGGTCAAACATTTCTGGCTAGAGTCAACCGATCATATGTTAATTCTCCAATGCGATGTAACTACCGTTAATGCTGGATGCATTAAGCTAGCTAAATTTATCATCGAACATTTCCGAAATGAATTCGAGGCAAAAAAAGATCAATTTGAACACAATAAATCCATGAAGCATGCGTGCATCTTACTTCATATTCATCGAGATCAAGAGTCCACTTTAGCATCCTTTAATTTTATGTGCGGTTGGAAACAAGTGACTGTGGAAACATTGTCAAGGAGCGACATTCCTTTATCTAGTCTTTTGGATGGATCATTGTCTAAAATCATCAATTCCACTTATCCATTCGAAAAAATTTTAAAACAAGAATTGTTGTGGTGTTTATTGTGCATGAAATATCCATCAAACGAAAAGTCTGTCGACCATATAAAGTAAGAGTTGGTTTCTATTTAAGTTAAAAAACCTTTTTTTATGTTTTCGAGACAAGTATTAAATCCAAACAATTATATAAAAATATAGGATATTAAGCGAGAAAACTTTGGAATGTCCAAATCTTATTGAATGCTTGAAAGAAAAAACGTTAGAATGGATCGAAGAAAAATCTACAAATGATTGGCAATATAAAGTTGCGTCAAGCAAACAAAATTTATATCCATACGCGTCGTTTTCTGTGGCATTACAGGCTCATATTAGAGCATTAGTTAGGAAACCAATAGCTAAAATTTTATGTGCCTTAGAAAGACTATCAGCAATTAAAACATTTTTCTATATTGACGCTTGTGCCAAATTAAATGACGAAGAGGAAGAATTACGCAAATTTTGGCAACAAATTTATATGGATAAAAAAATTGTCAAAATTGAAGATTTACCAGATCCAAAACCCGACGGGTATATTATGCCAGCAGGAAGTTTATATGACCTTAAATTTCCTTTTTCATTTTACTTTATGAAACAAATTGATAATTTTAAAAGGTATTACGAAGAAGAGTTAACATTGATACAGCAGGATGATGATAGAGTTGATAACACTACTAATGAAATTTATGAATGGGTAATCGATGACCATATGAAAGATTTCAAAAACAATATTCTTACATCAGTTCCACAATTGAGAGATTCCCCTCTTGTAAGAGTCCCTGATCTATATTTTAATGATTTTGTTACCATCATTGCATCAAACAATTGTGGAAATAAGAATACAAAAATTTTAGCGTTAATATTGAGGTTACTTATTGGTGCCGATAAAGTGTATCAGCCAATTATTCTTCATTCTTATTGGTGGAAAAATGCTAATGGGGTTTTAGCACTGTTGCAATTAGCTCAAATGGCTCCAGCAATTGTACTAAAGATTGAAGCTCAAGGTCATGATATTATTGGGGGGAGTGTAGAAAGATATCTTGTTAGAGAAATAACAAATTTAATGCTGCAGAGCATATGCGGAAACTTGGGAGGCGCAGCAAATTCTCATTTGATTGATAGATGGCAACATGATGTAACTAAAGTACTATCTCTCAGTAATAAGGTAGCGAAGGCGAAGAATCTGCAAGATCTACATTTGTTACGTATAGTAAATGATCTAGTTGCAACAAAAACAATACCTTTAGATAGTATAAGAGAAATCGTTCAACTTGGATTAAAGTCTGACAAACAAGAAGTTCTGTCTGAGAGATTCGTCAACGCCGTCCTTGAAAAGTTAGATAAATTAGAACAAAATGAAAAGAATTTAATACCAAGAAGATCATTCATCATGAGATGTCTTGCCTTAATTCCGATTGAATCCGATGTTCGACTAAGTCTCTATAAAAAATTATTCTCAAGTGAGCCTTTCCCATTAATGGGAGCAATTGTTGAAAGGATCTTTGCCGCGGAAGATGAGGAAAATGATGGTATATTTAAAACCATACTTACAAATACCAATGAAGCTTTAAGACTATCTGCTCGGTTAAATACTATTAACAAATGTTTTAGTGATTTGGATACGAACATGGCGACATTATGTTGTGATGTCATTGGACAAATATTACTTAATAATTATGAATTGGATCGATTAGAAGAATTAGTGCCTTACTTTGGGTACGCCTATGAATCCTTATATTCACAAGGAGCATCAGCATTGCAAAAAATAACCGCTATCGCTCTGCTTAAAGAATTTGTTCATCGGTTCTGGGATAGTTTCCTTCAAGAAGATAAAAATAGACCAATCGCTTATAACAATATGGAAGAAGACGATTTTAATAGCGAAGATTTAATCAATCAAGTTAATGCTAGTATGAATTTCGCTCATCCTTTGATTCATTCTCTTAAAATTTACTTTTTAAGAAATCTCTGTCAGAGAGATTTTTCAATTGATGATGTTAGACGATTTTGTGAAGCTCAGAAAAAATTTTTACCTTGGCTTGGAACTTTAAATTGGGAAGATATAAGGGAAAATCGATTATCTATTAATCCTTATTGTTGTTTGCCTGAATATAACGAGGCAGAAAGAAGCTTTTCGACTTACTATAGTATAAGTAACAAAGCACCATTTCAATTATTCATGCAAAATATAAAACAGAAAGACACCTTAACAGCAAGGTTATCTTTAATGGGACTTTTCTTTGTACGACTTCATGCATTAAGGGCTTCAAGAGAATGGCAACATGCAGAAATACAATCAGCTGATTTTTTGACAAAAGAGCTAACTGGAATGAATAAACTCCCGGTATTATTCAAAACGATCGCAACAAAAATCCTTTCAAATAAGTTTCCTTTACTTCAAATTCCCAATGCAAAGATTAGCAATGATGATTTGTTTTTAAAATCTGTTATTGCACATATAATCGCTTTTCATGCTTCAATTGATTCGAATTCGTCTCAATTGGCTATGTATCTGCACAATTTACAAAATTGTCAGAATTTGTTTATTATAGCATGTATTTCTGACTCAGAATCGTTGGTGTTAAATGCAGTTGCTGCCTCAGAGGGAGTTACAAGATACGCCTGTAAATGTGGTATGAAATATGTTATCGCAAATTGTGGTGGAGCTGTAACGACCGGTATATGTCCAAATTGTAAAAACACGATTGGTGGAGCATCTTATAAACCTGCAGAAGGAAACACCAGACTCGATAATCAGCCAACTGCACAAATAACAACAAATGACCAAGCAGGATATATTGGAGAACCTGTTAATCCAACTTTGACTCATTGCGTCAGATCTTTGCCACCTACTTCATACCGTATATTGCATTTAATTGTTCACGTTCTTATTGGAGCGTCTGCTCCTCAGCCTGCTCTTAACTTCCTTCGAAGAAATAATCAAACTGCATCAGATGCTGAAAGGTATTGTATGGATCATATTCGAAACGATTGGACAATTCTCAAACAACTTCTTAATTGTAATCATGAGGTATAATAACAATATAGTATATTATTTTTTAAATTTTATTTTCTACAATAACTAACAAAATTATAATTAACCAGAGATTGGCGTTAATGTTCCATTCGTTAATTTCTTCCATGACGGAAAAACTTCCATCCAATCAACCAATCAACACACCTGCCGATCGCGATAACTGGGAAGTTACATTCCATAGAGATTATATTTCGCCAAAAATTAAGAATATAACCGAGACAGAAGCAGAATATCGTATGAAATTAAATGCAGCTTTGGCCAAAAGTCAAAAGGTTAATATTATTGAGGGTGAAATCAATCAGACTTTAGCGATGGACAAACAGTATCGAATTGAAAATTTACCAAGTTTATGGAGAATGATTGGAGTGAATAACTTTGATAGTTTCCGTGCTTATTATATGAGTGATGTGGCAAAAAACAAGAAGAATTATCCATTCTTATCAGTATTTTTCAAATACGTTGGACAATTAGAATTACTTCGACACCTTTTGCCTATTGTAAAATTTGTGCAACTTTTACATTCCAAGCTTGGATATCACTTATCAAGACAGAAGGCAAGAGTTTTGACCTTCAGGCAATTTATAGAACAGGAATCTAATGATGGTGAAAATCGTGAAATGTTTAATAGCCTGAAGAAAGCCTTTGATGACTTTAAACTTGGGTGGGATACCGTTATATATTATGTTAGAAGATATCAATGTCATGAGCTTCCAAAAGACAAACCAATCATGACTTATGAACTTCCAGTTGTTTTTGGTCTAATGGAACCGAAGGATACGGGAATTTTCTTATGCGCAATTTTAGACTATTTAGTAAATTTACAAAATAATTTCTTGCAAGAAGTCGTGGCAATTCCACCCGGAACTTGTAGATCTCTCAAGTTTTTAGATGAACCAACTTTTGACGTCGAACTGACTGCCGCGACTTCGGCTCAACCAAACACCCCTAACGGATATTACCTACAATCTATGCGTATTGATCATGTTAGGTCCGGAAATATTGTAAGCTTTGAATGGGATGACGAAATTCTTGCATATTGCCAAAGAAATCTGGCAATCGCAAAAGGACAAGATATTGTTTACGATTTAACAAAAATTGAGGTAGAATTGGCAAATTTTCTGGTTTTTGAAAAAGTTCATATTGAAACACAACCAGAATCTCAATTATATTTAGAACCTTTCCCATATCACATGGAATTGTTCCAAGGATGTATGAGAATTCTTAGTGATATCAAACATTTAGTACCACAAGAGCCAATCCCAATTGAAAAAATGAGTTTATTAGGTGCTTCTAGTTCATTTATGTATCCGCAACAAGAGTCGACTTTAGATAACGCATCAGAAGTTTTATCGTCATTGGAAATTATTTTGTGTTTTGTCAAACGAACAGCAGTTGGAGATAATGAAAAATCAATTAAAGATTATATTTCACAATGGATGAGATTATCATCATTAGTTGAGAACGCAGGATTCACAAAATTTTTAAATCTCGATTTACGACTTAAACACTTGGTGTCCTTATACGAATACGTTGAAGAACAAGTTGCGAACCTTAAAATTAAATACATTCACGAAAAGTATAAAACTTCACTTTCGGTAGAAATGGAAAACACTATATGTGATTCTGTAGATTTTGAACAGCAAACTACAGCAAAAGAACTGATACCAGCAGAAGGATTTGCATTGGCTTTAAAACGATTCATGCTAAGATTTTTAACTTTAGACACCCAAAAAGAAATGGAGCCATTATATATTTACTTACAAGACATCTCATTAAATTTCTGGCCTTCAACCATTCCAGAGAAACGTATCGATGAATTATTCCCAGAAAATTTGATGGTGGCCAACACTTTTGCTGCTTATGAATTTACAATGAACAAGATTGATGTAAGAATATTTATTAAAAATTTTCATTTAAATTTTTTTAAGAGTAGAAATTTATTAATCATTTATAATTTTAATTTTTTAGCAAAATATGAAAAGACAAGCCAATATTTCTAGAAATTATCCAGTTACTAATCAACGAGCGGCACCTATAGCCAGAAGTGTTACGACAAAGAAAGGCAAAAAAGGAGCGTCAAAATTTGATGCAATGTAAAAGCGTGCACTTATATTTTTTTAGTTTATAAACTTTTAGATTAGTATAAGTAATTTAGTTTTATTTTTTTTTTAAAAAAAAAAAAAAAAAAAAAAAATGATATTGATATTAATAAAAATCTTTTCATTTAATAAAATTTTCTTGAAATAAAAGATCTTTAACGAATGTTCTATATCATCACCTTTTTTATAATCACATGTAGATCTTTGATAAACATCTACACAAGCCACAGTATTCATCAAATCTTCATTTTTATAATAAAATGGAACTTACAAATACAAGCGAAAATTCTTGCAACCCGACACCAAAATTAAAACCTAGTCCAATACCAATTAATTTTGTTCCTTTTAATCAAGAAGCTTATAATTGTTTTCGTTGTGGAGTTGTATATTCCGAGACACATTTATTCAAACAAAAATATTGTAAAAATTGTTTGTTTTTGTATATTAAAAATGTAACTGGAAGTAATTCGGTTAATTTAGAATGTTATTGGGAGCAGATTGAATGCTTGAATGTTAGGTGTAATAAACATAAAGCGAATAAAAATTTGGAATCTCTTACACGAAACGTTCAAGAATGGCGTGATGTTTGCTTAGATATTTCATATTTTGGACAGATAATCACAGAGCATTGCTCGGGTGGACATTACATAGAATATATATTCGGAAATAGAATATTTTGTCAGTTATGTGAAAGAATACTTCATGGAAATCTCCTAATTGTTGAGTTCAGGTTATGCGCAGATTGTTACATGATTTTTTTTGGATGGGTAGAATCATTATATAAAAAGCGAATCCCAATCCTTTACTTACCATGGTGGGATACTTTTAATAAATGTTTAGGTTGCAATTTAAATTTGATTTTCATATCTGGTTGTCAGAAATGGTGTCCAGGCTGCTATATAATTCACACTGGATGCAGATATTGTTTAACAACAAATATTATTTTTGGATTTTCCGAAAAGTCTCAATGTAATAAATGCAAAAGAAGTATTACTATTGATGTTAAAATTATTAGCAGTGGAAATTATGATATAGATGAATTCCTGCATAGCATAAAAGTCGACGTTGACATTGGCAATCATATTGTTGATTATATTGAAAATATCAAAATAGATGTTAACCCATTAGGTGTTTACGATTTTATTAAAGAAAATCATACCAAACCAAAATTAAAATTGGAGTGGATTCCATACACTCGACTTGAAAATTTTACGAAAATAGCACAAAGTGAACTTGGCACTATTTATCGAGCAACTTGTAGTGATATACGTGATCATTCATCGAAATTTACTGTAGCTGTCAAATGCTTTTCCAAATCACAAGATTTTAAAAAATATTTCTTAAACGAGGTGATTATTTGTTTATATCTTCATTATCTAATTTATCAATTAATTTTTATTTTTTTTTATTTTTTTTTTTTGATGGAAAAAATATATAGTCAAGTTCGCATTATCATTGTAATAAATTTGGTGATGTGACAGGTATTCTCCATTGTCATGGAATTACACAAAATCCCAATACAAATGAATATATGTTGGTAATGCAAGATTCAAAAAGAGGAAATTTATATGATTATTTACAAAAAAATATTGGATGGCAAGAAAAAATACGAATTCTTCATGAGATTTCATCCGGGTATTTATGCTTTGAAATTTTATTTATATTTTTAATAAAATTCTTATTCAATCCTTTTTTTTTTTTTAGGCTTGAAGCTATTCATGATGCAGATTTTATACATTGTAATTTACACAGTGGAAATATATTGTATATTCAAGGTTGGAAAATTGGAGATTTGGGATTATCACAGCCTGCAAATAATACTTTGCAAAGTAATGATATATATGGAGCAATTCCTTACATTGCACCAGAGATATTTAATGGTGATCCATATTCAAAAGATTCTGATATTTATAGTATGGGTATGATTATGTGGGAATGTGCATCAAATCGGAAACCATTTGCTGACATTGAACATGATCTGATTGTTAAAATCATTAATGGGCTACGACCTAAGGTTCCAAAAGATACTCCTGAATGGTTGGCTGAATTAATGAGAAAATGTTGGCATTCTGATCCTAGTAAAAGACCTTCTATAACCATGATTCGAACGACTTTAAAGAATAATTATAAGGATGATTCGCTGTCTGAAATAAAGCGACCAGTATCAACAGAATTTTCCGGAAAACTTCCAAAAGTGGTTACAAGTAGAACATTAAATTCTTTAATGTCTAGACCATCTATAAATTCATCATCTATGAACTCAAATAAAATGATACAAAATCAAGGTTTGTGTCAACAGTTTTTTTTAGAATAAACGATTAATCATTAACCCTTAAATATATATATACATATATATTACCTTTAGATGATGTCACAAAGGAAGACAAGTTTGATGAATATTTCAATAGGTCATTATGTAAATTAAAAATTTTGAAGAGAAGCAGCATTTTTATTAATTTGAAAATTTCATAATAATTTAGATTATCTATAATATACGCAAATTCCACCAATCAAAATCCTTCAGATACAAGTGCAATTTATTCTAGTAAACAACTTATTGAAGATTTTGGAAATTTAGGAATTAAATCATCTGATGGGTAAGTAAAAAAATTTTTTCATTTAATTTTAATTAAGGAAAAAAGATAACTCAACCTCGTGATATAAATCAATTTCTATGAAAAAATCTTTATGTAAATTCTTTATATTCAATAAACCTATGATTTATTAAGAATCTCTCCAGAAAAAAATTTTCAGATTAATATTAAAAATAAAATTTATAAATAAAAAACATATTACTTATCTAATTCAGCTTGCTATATTTATCACTTTGGTCAAGTCTTTTTCCCTAAATTATATTGTAATAATAGATAGCTTAGTAGAGATAATATTTATTATTCTTTGAATATCGAAATCGTTTATTATAAAGATTTAAAAGATTTAAAAAGAAAATAAAAGGAAAAAAAAAAATTACGACACGAATCTTCTTGACCTTTTATCAATTTGTCTTTGATGTTGTGATTTAACCCATTTTCTCCATTCCAAATAACCACATCTAAATCCTACATGTTTAAACTTAGGGAAAGTAGCATCTAATAACGAAGTTTTAGTTTGAAAATTACTAATATTAAAACCTTTATTATTTAACAATTTTTCAACATCAAGACTGCTAATGAATTCTTTAAGCCTGTTTAATTTATCATCATTATTCTGATATAAAAATTCAATTTCATTAAAATAAATTCTTGATAAAGAAATTTTTTGAGTTTTTAAAGAGTCCAACCAACATGAATTACAACTTCCTTTATATTTAATTAATTCGAAATTACGTAAATTTTTTTGACAAGAGATCAAGATTCCCAAATCGATCGCACATTGAATGTGATCAAATGATGGTTCATGCCATAATGTACCCTCAAAATCCGCTGTCAAGTACTCCAATTTATTAAAAATTTTACTTAGAGTTTTCGAAAAATTATATAGATATAAAGCATCTTTTGATAATAACACGTGTCTCACATCCTTAAATATATCTTTAATCGAATCTTCATTTAAAATATTAAAGTTGAAAGTATTAATGTTACAAAATATGTCGGGATATTTTGTCCAATAATCATATGTAAATGAATAATATTCCATACATCCAAATTCAAAATAATCAATTTTCGTTCCTTTACATGAAAATAATTCGAGAAGGCACCTAAGGATTATATCATGACAATATAATTCATCATATTCTATACACCATTTGATAACGTTTTTTGCTAATGTGTGGATTTGTAATTCTTTTAAATAGATAGGATAATTATACATCGGTTTATCATATAATGTGGGAGGTAAGGTTATTCCATGATTATCAAGGAATTGATTTTGTTCTGAAGATAAGCACGAAAGGTACGTGTTTATGGTTGATATTCTATTCCCTGATGGATCAAAAAATGGTGCTAACCATAATAAAGGTAAGAAAGAATTGCACCAATTTTTATTAACCAACATAAATGAGAGGAGATTTTTATTATATTCTTTGGAATGAGTAAATCGACCTTTTGGAAATATTTCCTTAAATATTAATAATAACTCGTATGATAATGACATCGTTTAACGTTATGTAAAAAAAAAAAAAAAAATGGTATTGAAAGGAATGAGAAGTAATTAGTTGAGGTTAAGGTATTTTTTGCCCATGTATTTAAAAGTTTTGAAATGCTATGCAGGTAGTAAATCCGGAAATTTACAGCGTTTTAAAATTCGCATTATGTTGCCAAATTTATTCTAATTGATAAATTTTATAGCATTTTCTTTTTTTATCTATTTCCTGGGGGGAATTTTTACTAAATATAAATCTGAAAGGAAACAATTAAACAAATAATTTTTTACTTTAACGAGAATGTTTGTTTTCTATGGACACATCAACATTTGCGGTCTTACGCCCATATTTTTTTTTCGTTTTAAAACGGGATTATTGATAAATAAACAAATTTTTTTAATGTGAAGCATTGCTGATAAATACAATTTATTATTGTTTATAAAGGTCGTCACTTCCTTGAAAGAAAAAGGCAAACCATATTAAAAATATTACATACACGTGTAGAAACCACAAGCGAAACATTGATTATTCAAATGAGCGTTTAACTGTAAATTTTGACGAAGAATTAATTTTTTTTGTGAAAATATATATATATATATAAGTATATATATATCAAATGTCATTTATTTAATCCAAACCAAATAAAGTCATGAAAATACATGTTAAAGTAAGATCAAAATGCTTTTCTAAGCAAACTAGTTAAAACCGGATATAAAGTATTATCTTGTACAAATTCCAAAGCTCCATTTAATAAAACTAAATTTTCAGAATTAGGCACAATACAAATTTTAACATTATTAATAAATTCCAAATTTTTAATTTTCTGCACCAAATAATCACTTTTAAAAATGTTTCCAACAAAGAATATGACGGAATATTCTATATATTCATCTTCATCTTTAAATTTAGTATTAATAAATCGTTGCAGTCTATCCGATAAAGGATCGAATAAATCTGCGATCAATTTCAAATCTAATTCAATACACCATTTATTTAACTCTAAATTCATTTCTTTTAATGAAGGTAAAATTGAACCTAATTCAATTGTTCTTGTTGTTCTTGTTTGTTTACCAGTTAATTGAAATTTTTTAATTAATGATTCAAGGTTTGGTTGTATTTGTAATTGAGTTTGATAAATTTGTTTTAGGTTTGTATTCTTATGAATTGAAATATCGTTGGAAATTCCTTGAGATGTTAAAAATCTTTTTTCAATACTTGAATCTTCTTTATAATCCCCTTTACGATCATGAATTTCATCAAGTGTATTTTCTGACATATATTCTCTTGCGGTCAAATTAATTGTATCCCTATCAATCTCCACGATCAAAAAGTAATCTATCATCAAAAAAGGATCAGTGAGAGAAGGTATCCAATTTATCATAAGAAGTATTGCAAATTGTGTTACCTCCATATTTTAAAACACCTTTATTTTCAGAGAGGCAATTCAATGCAATAGCTTTTCCTTTGAAAGTAAATGAATATTTTAGAATATAATCAAATATTCAATTAAAGAAATCATGATAAAATTTAAAATGCACCTCTCGAAATAAATTGAATATTTTCTTTATTATCACAAAGCAATCGATTTTCAAGTAAACATTGACTTAAAATATTGCAATATGTAGGTCCCTATAATAAGAGGGAAAAGGTTTATTAGGAATCGAGATTTACTTTTTCTTTCTTTTTGGTTACATACCCATTTATCTGGCACAATGAATAAAACACCAGTTTCTTGAGATGGTTTAACTCCGGGCCAACTTTCTTGTATGGTAGAAACAATAACCTAGAAAAATGATTTTACATTTTTAACAATTTTTTAAATTAAAGCAACTTTGAAAGGTTCCCTTAATACCTTTTGTATCTCACTTAAATAATCACTAATTAACTTTTTTCGAGAGAGTTCAGGTGGTAACCAATTGTCTTCTTGTTCACTATTAAACACTTGAAAGGTATAAATTTCTCTTGGAAATTCCGAGTCTTCATTCGGATTATCCGGATCGTTTTTTAATTGTTTTAAAACTGGTGTGCCCCATCTTATTATCTTTGAATAGTCATCATTATATTCGATTATTGCCGGTGATCTAATAATTCCTTTTTCTTGTCCTTCCCTAATTATAAATCAACCAATATTAAGAAATTTGGAAGGAAATTTATGAAATCAGAAACTTTTGCTTAAGAAGTTGAAAACTACCATTGTTCGAAAACTATTGTCGATTGTAAGAATGAATGCTTTAAAGAATGGGCGAAACCTAAAATCAAAAAAAAAATAAACAAAAATTTCAAATAATCCAAACAAACAAAGAGGAATGAACCCTTACAGGTAAATTCGGTTCCGATATCTAATCAAAACAAATGTAAATTATAGGGTATGTAAATTATAGGTGTGAAATTTGCATTTCAATTATAAACCATGCGAAAAAAATAAAAAATAAATAAATCCTACCTATAGCAACAACAACTCTTTGAAACATGTTTCTAAAAGAAAATCATTTCAGTATATTTAGCCAAATTTATAAAAACAACGTTTATTTTGTTCTAAATTCGTGTGACATCTCTTTTATTGGTGCATGAACTTTGTGAAGTTCTAGTTGGTTAGGTTTTATTATTATTGAGATTTTTTTTTTAGGTTAAAAAAAATTATATATATATATATATATTTTGTTTTCCCGACTTGAAAGAAGAAAACGGTAAGTTCAAATTGAGTATACATATAAACTGTACTGTACGATCACTGTACGAAACCAATAATATTTCTTTGTATACTTTTTTGATTTTGTATAATTATTGTACAATTGGTTGTAATCAGTACAGTTCACCTGATCGTACAGTACAGTTTATCTATTTACCTGTTCAAATTCTTTGAGGAAAATAAATTTGGTTAATGCTATTTTTCCGTAGGTCGACGATCTTTGGCGCAGCTAAATGAATAAAATAATATTTTGGGGCGAATTTATCAAATACTGTTAATTTTCCAAAAAATAATTTTTGATTTGGCGCATTAATCACCATAATTCTCTTACAAAAAAAAAAAAAAAAAAATGCATTGATTATTTAAAATTTTGGAAACGAGTCCACGATATGGATCGATTTCTAAGGCGGGATGAGATTTATATCTGGGAAGAAATCAGGAGGAGATTTTTGAAAAATTATTTTTTAGTTTTTTTTGATGTTATTACCTAAGCACTTTTAGTCACGAGACAGTAGATCATATGATCCGCAACGAAATTAATCTCTCACGAATAATTCAGAAATTTTTATTATAATTGTTATTATATATATATACAGATTATTAAATATAAAATTTTTATTCATTATATAATTAATACAAATAAAAATTAATTTCCTAATGAGATCTATCTAACCTATACATATTCTACTAAAAGGAAAGAGACATTAACTAAATTCAGAAGGAGATGGAAATTGAGGAATCGATCCATGAATTTCTTTGATTACTTGATAAACTTCGAGCTCTTCTACAAGGAATGGAACTTGTATATCTCTGATACGAACGGTATAAGCGTTACCTTTACAAATAGATCCGTATTCTCTGCCAAAATCTCCTTTAAGATACAAGGCACCATTAAAAACAGGACCATGATTAGGGATATTTCCAATCATACCCGAACTGCCTTGTCTAGGTCTACCTATAATTGACTTATTAGCTTGACTATTTAATTTAAATACAAAACATTCATTTGTTCTGAAATATGTATTATGAGGATATAATGATTGATCCCAACTAATAGGATTATATCCACCGATTATTTCCGTTGAACCACGAATTTTTATAATGGATAGCGTTGGTCCCTTATTATCGCATAATTCATGAAATTTTTCTGCGGTAAGTCCATTTTCGCTTCCTCTTAATATTAAAGAGAAATTATAACAAATATCCGAATTTGATGAGATATTTGTGGTGTCATTTATCCATTTTGTAAACAATCGAAAATGATCTAAATCTAATATTGAATTTAATTTAATATTAAATATTGGTTCCGGTCTATCATTTGGTTGTGAAGAAGTCGAGGCATGAGACGATGAAGGCTGTGATGTAGGTTTTGATGTAGTTGAATCCAATTTTTTGGAGGATACTATGTGATATTTGAGGATATCTTCAAAAAGCGGTTTTTCGATAATTTTCTTAAATGGTTTAACTTTCTCATAAAAATCTTCTGGAGTAATATTATAAAACTTAATTAATGGAATAAATTTCTTAAGAGTATTTGACAAATTTCTGAATTTATCTCTAGTCCACAATGAAACATCCGCAAAATTTTCAACAGCGGGTGATGATGAAGATGAGCTTCCAGTTTCCGCAAAAGTCTGAGAAATCCCCCATTTGATAATGGATTCCCATTTCTCTATTTCTTCAACTTTTAACTTTTCATTTTGTAAAAGAACGAGTAACGTATCCTCATTTAATAAATTAAAATCTTTTGATTTAAAAATGATTTCTGGAGAATTTTCAATGGTTTTTAAGCAAAATTCGTGAAGTTTTTTAAATGAACCATGAGATGATGATATTTGTAGGGTAGTACTAAAATTTTGATAAATTTGCTTTGGTGATTTTAAAAATTGATTCTGTAAAACGTCAAGTAATTCTGAAACATTCAATTCCTTAGTTATTAAAAAGAATTCAAACATCTCTTTAGGGTTCTTCTCATCGAATTCTAGGTTACCACCATAAAAATATCTATAAATGCATTAAAAAAAAAAGGAAACGACAAAAATTGTTTCAATTAATTCTGGTTAATAAACCTCACCCTTACCGTAAACCAAATATAATCACCTGAGAATTTTATCAAATAATTTTGGGTTAATATCAGGTTTTTCAATAATAATTTTATTACCGTCATTATTTTCTTTAATCCCCTTTAATTCTTTACGAAAGTAAGTCGAACGAATTAAAAGAACGAACGAATGTGCATAAAATTCTTCAGCGCTCCCTTCTCTTCCTGCTCGAATTATAACGTCAGCACATTCTTTTCCGTTTTCATAAAATGAAATATAATCCTTGGATAATTTTGTAGCGAAACTATATATTACCATGTTTCCAAAATGCAAAAAAAAAGCAGGTATAAGCAAAAAAAAATGTTCATTTATTTATTTGTACAACAAATTTATCACGTGATTATGCCGTTGGATCCGACATGTTCGTGTAACATTACATAATAAAATCATGAAATGACGAAATTCAAACTTTTAAAGTTTAAAAAAAAAAATTAAATAAATCAAGAAGAATTTGTTATTAATAAAATCGAAGACTTCCGAATTTTTAGAATCATTCATTTAAAAATTGAATTCGATTATATCACACCGGAATATTTGTAAAGAGAGACCAAGGATATATGAAAATATGAGCCAAACTATTGAAAATAAAGAAAATCCAATAATTATTGCATTTTTTACATGACAAATCCCGAGAAAATCATATCATTAATTTAATTCGAACGTCTCAGTCGGTTATGTCATACATCTTAGGTAAAGGGACTTTTGATCTCAAGAGAAAAATAAAAATTAGTCCTGCAAAAAAAACATCTTTTCACATTCCTATTAGTTAATTTTTATCTCTGTGTAAAATTCCAACAACTAATTTCCATACTGTCATTGCGTACTTTTTATTATTTTTTTTTTTTTTAAAAAAAAAAAAAAGAATAAAATACACTCCTCAACATTGTATCTTAACATATATTTGTTCCTAAATTGACGAGAAATTTGAAAGATAGATTAAATATTTAACCAATAATATTTTATATAGAACTTTAATTCCGTTCGTTTCAGCGGGCATTATGATAAAGCCATCTTTTTGTCGTCAAGTTCCAAATGAGGAGATGAGTCATCGAAACAAGAAAAAAATATCTTGCCAGAATGCTTATCATCTTGGCGATCTGCAACACAGAAAACGAAGAAATGGAAGTTACAAGTCAAATAGCGGAGTGAAGAGCTAATCAGAAAAGAACCCAAACTTTGATAGTTCAACAGGAATAAAGAAATACCGAAGACCTCGTGATTCAAATGATCAATTTGGAGGAGCCAATATTCCTGAATCTGTATCCAGTGTCAGTGGGGTGATAAGCGGGATGAAGTTCGAGTGTCGCAATAATCAACCAATTCCCTTATGAAATGATTAAAAAGTTTGCCGCGTTGCAACTTCTTTTACCTGAAGTGGAGTCGAGAAACATTACTATGGAATTATTGTTTATGTATTATGGCCAAATTGGGGTTTATTTGAAAGTGGCATTTTCATTTTACATGGCCTTTATCTGTCTACTTTTTGCTTCGGTAAAATTTTTATTTTTCTTCACGCACCGAACAAAATTCGTTATTGCGACATCATGATCATAATGGTGAAGTTATACAAAGAAAATTATAATTATAAGACAATTTTTAATTTAATTAATAAAACAATTAATTTAGTAAATTTTTATTTTTATCAAATATTAAGATTTTTTTTTTGATTATTAAATTGTTTACTTCAAATATAAGGTAAAAATTTCGTTTTAAGGATGAGTAATGAATAATTTTTTTTAAATTTTTAACATTTTCCTTTTTTTTTGTTTAAAAAATAATCTATTTTTAACATTTTCGTTTAAAGATCAATCTATTCTCTTTAGATTTCTTTCTCTTCAGATTTTAAAGTAAAACTTAAGATTTCAAAGTTATTGTTTTATTTTTTAATTAATTTATTTAGTAACATTATTTTTTTTTTTTAGATATTAAAATAAGTAAATTTTATAAAGACTTTTTTTTAAAAGATGAATTATTCTTTCATAAATTTTATATTAATTTTTTAAAATTAATAAGAAAATAATTTTATTTCTTTAAAAGTATTTATTGGCTTCAAATAATTTTACTTATTAAATAAAATTAATATATATTTAATTTAAAAAAAGTTAAAAAAATATTTATATTAATTAGTTAATCTATTGTTATATATTATTAACATATAATTCTTGCAAACTACAACTGTTAGATGGTGTGACAGAGTGTTATTTCTTTTTGCTTTTACAACTAACTTTAGAAAAAGGTTTGTTTATACAAGTGTTTCACAAGTAACATTTCACAGTGTATCAAGTTATTATATTTTCAAGTAAGATGTTTAATAACAAGATAAGAAATAAAAAATAGAGAAAATAAAAGAAATGATAAGAGAAAAGGAAAGAAAATAAAGAAACGAAATACTAAAATTAAAGTGTAATAATATGATAGGCCTGTTTGCCTCTAAAAACTACTAGAAAACTGACTTATCAAATCCTACTTTAAACATAGTCTAAAAAGCTATTTATTTATATAAAATACAATATATAGAAATATATAACTAATATGTCAAATATGTCTAATATATCATATAGAGCGTTTCCAGTAAAATCACATTACAAATCATATGATTTACTATGCCTCATGATTTGATTTTACTAGAAACATTCCCATATATATCAGATATGTCCAATATATCATATATATCTAATCTGTCTAATATCCTATTTGTTGATCATGTTAGATATATTGTATATATTAGACATATCAGAAATGTCAGAAATGTCAGATTTGTCAGATTTATCGATCATTTATACTATGTAAATCCCATCATATTTTATCTATTCATAATATTGATTTAACCTTTATATTATTTTAAAAATTATATATAACTGATATTTAAATATTTCAATATTAATTATTATAAAATTCAAAATTCAAAATTTATATTAAATATATTTTTATTAAAATATGTAAATATTTATATTATTCATTTAATAGTTTTGCTTTCAAATTTAAAAGGAATTTACTGACTAATTAAAATTAACTTAGATATATTAAAAATTAATTATTATACAAATAATAATTTTATAATTTATAATAATTTTGCATTAATTTAAAATTAAAGTTTAAAATATTTTTTAATAAAAATTTTTCTTTATAAAAGCTAAATTTATAAATTTATTATTTTTATATTATTAAAAAAACTTAATAAAATATAAAAATTATATTTAAAACATTTATTTTTATTATTTATTTTATTTATTTATAAAAAAATCATAAATTTAAAGTTAAAATTTTATTTATTAAAAATGAAATTTTATAGATTATAATAAATTTTATAATATATTTTAACTAAAAATTAAAAAAAAATTATAAGTTTCTATGTAGTATTTTTCATAATAATTAATTAAAAATCATGAAAAAATCATGATTAAATTTGAATAAAAAAAAAATATAAATTTTTACTAAATTTATTAAGGAAATAAATAAATAAATAATATTAATTAAACTAACTTTTAGTATTTAATTATCACAACTATAATGATAATAATTAAAGTAAAATACCAATTTTATATAAATAAAAATAAAAAACTTAGTTATAATTTTTAATTTTTTAAAATCAAATATAATTTATATAACAAAAGTATAATAAATTTTATAATTTAAAGAAATTATAATTTATTGTATTACATATATATTTTATTATTAGTCCTTATTTATTATGTAATATTTTAAATAATTATAGTTTTATGATTAAGGGATCAAAAATTAAAGATTAAAAAATTAGAAAAATTAAAATTTAGGAATTAAAAATTAGATATTAGAAGTTAGGTAAGAATTAAATATTAAATGTTAGTATTAGTATTTAGTTTAATAATTATAATCTTATATTATAAAAAAAAAATACTTGTATAATTACTAACCTTTAGGTCATCTATATAAATAATTTTTATATTATATTATTATTTCTGTTACTTATAATTATATAAAACCTTTATAATAGAAAAGAAAAAAATTATTAGGAAAAATCAATTTTACTTTTATATATCAAACATAATTTTTAGGCTAAAAATATTTAAATTTAATATTAGCTAATTTTTATTTTTCTAATAGATTCTTTCTTTTTTATTGTAAAGATCCTATATAATCCTATTGTAATTCAATTTTTATAATAATTGTCAAAAATAAAAATAGTATTATAATATCTAAAAAGGAAATTTATAAAAATTAATACAAAATTCCCAATTATTATAATATAAAATATATAAAAAATAGCATATAATTCATAAAATAATATATTTGTACTAGCAGTACGACTCGGGCGATACCCCGAGGTTCATCAACGCGAAGAATAAAAGACGTTAAAAAAATATTAAAAATAATTTTAAAAAGATTCAACTAAAATTATTGAAATCGGTTAAGTTTAATTTTATACGTAATTTAATAAACGGTTTATAATAAGCGCATATGAATTGATTAGAATCTTGCCACTACGTGGCAAAATCCTAATCAATATATATATCGCTTATTTGTAAACTGTAAAATAATTTATAAAGTTATTATGTAATATTTTTTATTATATACAATATATACAATTAAATTTATTAAATTTAAATACTTTTAAAATAAATACAAATAATACAAATTAAAATTACAAAATTAAATATACAAAATTAATTAAATAAAATACTTTTATGACTATATACAAAT